ATTCCATATGCAAAGGATGGGAAGCCAGAGGTATGAGGGGAAGGGAGCAAGGGTACCAGTCCTGACTAGGGTGGAGAGGAAAGGAGTGAGTCAGAAAATACCTTTATGATCTGAGGGGTAGGAGGGAAACACAGCCCGCTACATGGGACCAACCCTACCCTCACTAACAGCCAACTCAGTAGAAGAAAATGAGCATCTGTCATAAAAAGAGGCTTTCTAGTTTGTCTAGTAGCTGCCCCCACCAACCCAGGGTAGGACCAAGTACCACAGCTGTGGCCAACAGAGGCTACACTTGACTAGCCATTATCCCCAACCTTCCTTCATCCCCAAGACTGTTTCTATCTCAATCCCATAGGAACAGCATGTTTTGCTATCCACAAGATGAATATAGCCCAAGCTCACATCTCCACTCTCCCATACACATACACCACAAATCCCAACTCACCACAGCACTCTTTCGGTGACTCTGGACAGTAAAGTCTGGGCAGAAGAGCAGGTCAGCAATGGCCAAGAGCAGGGACTCTGCCAGGGGCCGGGCATTCTCGTCCTCCTCACACTGCCAATGACAGGAATGTTCATGGGCTGACTGACAGCAGACCTCAGGAACTTCTAAGACTCAAGAGTCATATCCTGCTAGGGCTATGCACCCAGGCAGGTACACACAGACACAAGATGAAGGGAGAGAAACCACCAGACTTTGGATAGGGAGTTTCCCACATCCTTGTATGATTCGCTTTTAATGATTTCTTACCCTGTAAAAAGCTTCCTTTGTATATATTTGTCTGCCTGATGTCTCACTCATTAGATTGTAAACTCCTTGAGGGCAAGAACTGTCTTTTGCTTCTTTTTGTATTCCCAGTACTTAGCACAGTGCCTGATACATGGTAGGCACTTAATAAATAATTCTTGAATTGAAAGGCAGAAGGGGAATATCTCAGTATAGGGACATCAGCTTTGGCGGGCAATAAGTGTCAGGAACCAGTGGAGGGGGGCTCAATTTTAGCTAACCAGGAAGTCAGGTGGCATAGTGGGTAGAATTCTGGACTTGAGTCTTGCCTTAGACAACTTACTAGCTGTGTGACTGGCCAACAGCCTGCTCCCTCATCTGTAAAATGCAGATAATGATAACACCTACCTTATAGGGTCTTTGTGAGGATCAAAGGAGATAATATATGTAATATGCTTTGAATATCTTAAAGTGCTATTTAAATGATAATTATTGATGATGATGATGATGATGATGATTACGAAGAAAGGAGCTAGAGACAAGGGTTATTCAGAGAGAGACAAAGGTCCTCATATGTGTCCTCTCCTCAATCTTCTCAGCTAGCTAGAGAAATAACCCAGTGACCATCTCCCTCCCACTGTCCCAGTCTCTTCCTCTTCCCCTCAGGCCAGTTGCCTGGCATCTGACTCAAGAAGTTGAGGGAAAGGGAGGGTATCCTAGGCCAGAGCTGGAGAATCTGTGGCCTGGAGGCCACATGTGGCCCTTTAGGTTCTCAAGTACGGCCCTTTGACTGAATCCAGGCACAGATTCCCCACCCCTGTCCTAGGCTTAAGTGACACATTGCCCAAAAGTTCCTTTGAAGTAGAAAGCATCCAGGCTTTGGGGTGCCTGGCATCCAAGGCATATCCCTGGTATTTTCTACCATCCTACCCCTGGGCACTGTCTTATTCTCCCCTCTTCTGCCCAATCTTCTTCAACTGACTCTGCCATCACCTTTGTTCTAGCCCCAAGGAGACCTAAGACCCTAGTGGGAGAAGATAAGGACCCAAGAGGGTAGAGATGGGGGAAATGAAGCCTGGGGGCAGCAAGCAGAAAGGTCCATACCAAACAAAGTGGAGACCAGGAGTCTTGCATCCTGTTTTCTACCCATCAGCCCAAATTCTCACTCCTTCCCTGCCACATCCCAGGCAGGGATCTAGGAAAAGACATCAGGCTATAACGAAAGAGAGTTATCTCTCTAGTATAGGAGATCTAAACTCCAGTCGCTTCTGCCACTAACAAGCTATATGAGCTTGGGAAAATCACATACCCCTCTGTAAAATGAAGGAATTGGACTAGACCAGGAGCTCTTAACTGGGGATCTACAGACCCCTTTATTTCAGGAGATCCATGAAATTAAATTACATCTTTATTTTAATATAAATGATACTTAATATGATTAATATGAATAATAAAAATGATGGGTAAAAACAATAGCTAGCAATTACATAGCATTTTAAGGTTTGCAAAAGGGACAGCCAGGTGGTACTGGGCCTGGAGTCAGGAAGATTTGAGCTCAAATCCTGCCTCAAACACTTACTAGCTGTGTGAGCCTGGGCAAGTCACTTAACCTTATTTGCCTCAGTTTCCTAATCTGTCAAATGAGCTGGAGAAGGAAATGGCAAATCACTTCAGTGTCTTTGCCAAGAAAACCCAAAATTGGATCATGAAGAGTCAGACACAACTGAAACAACTAAACAACAACAACAAAAAAAAAAGGTTTGCAAAGCACTTTACACATGTTAACTCACTTGATCCTTATTAACAAACCTATGAAGTAGCTGTTATACCCTATTTTACAGATGAGGAAACAGATGAGGCTCAGAGAAAGGAAGTGATTTGCCCAGGGTCACATAACTAGCATCTGAGCTAGGACTGAATATGCCATCAAGCAGACTGCCCTGGTCCTACAAATCCCTCCCATTTCCCCTAGACATACAAACCCTTGCTCTTCCCACCCCCCTTTCCTGGCCCATAGACATGTCCCAGCCCTTCCTCTCTCTCACACAGATACACATACACACACCCCTTCTTGGCCAGCTCCAGGCACTGTGGACCAAAAGAAGCCCCTCCAATCAGGATCCTCAAAGATGTAGGGCAGCACACGGGTGAGGAGCCGGCAACAGTTGAGGACAATCTGCTTCTCTTTTTCTGAGTGGCAGCCGCTCTCCGATCCCTGCACCAGCTTCTCTACTGCCTGTCATTAGGGAAAGAAAGTGGGGAGACAAGGGGCTCGCCTTAAATCAGGTTCACTGGGACCACATCATTTCTGATTACAGGTGGGAAGAACCATTTAGAATGTAAGCTCCTTGAGGGCAGGGTCAGTCTCACTTCTGTATTTGTATTCCCAGCATCCAGCACAGTAAAGGCTTAATAAATAGTGATGCTGATTCTCAGAGAAAACAAAGGGTCTGTGCCAGCCTGGTGCCAACCTGAAAGGAAGAGAGGCCCTAACAACTCTGGACCAAGGGATGGATTACAGTCCTACCTCACTATTCATCCCACAGTTCTGTCAAGATATTAGGAGACATCCTGTTTTCCAGAGCTAAGGCCCAACAAGCAGGCTGTGTCCTGAGCTTGGCATAACGACAATCCTTTGCGCTCACCCTCTGGCAAAATCACATAATTATCATATTGCTTAGACCAGCACCAGGGGTTCTCTGAGCTCCGACAAGTTCTGGTCATGAAGTCCTGCTATGAATCAAACTTGTCACATTGTCGCTGTTACCCCTCGTTGTTAGGGTTACAGCTCACTGTGCAACCTTTGGTATAAGTATTGAGATCTCCCCACACTGCCTTAGTTCCCCACACTAGGGGTGGGGCTCCAGCGTACGAGTCAAAATCCCCTTCTTGCTTACAAGCCATTTCCCTCACTTCAAAATTAAACTTCTGTTTGATTCCTGACTGTCCTGTCTGTAGCCTGCTCTGTTCGGCTCCAGTCATTTACAGGTTAGAGGCCGGTTTGGACAGGTTGATAGTTCTAAGCTATAGAAAGGACTCTAAGCTAAATCCAGAAGAAATGTTCCTCTCCCTTGACAGTACTGGGAAAATGAGGAGAGGACAGATATCCCAGCTAGCAGGAAATAAGCACTCAGGCAGAGCTAGATGGTAGGAGGCACATAAAAAAAAGAGCAAGACCTAAGCTCCCCACCCCAGAGACCCGCTTCGGAAGAAAAACTCAAACTCATCATTTGCGCAGTCTGGAACTCTGAAGCCAAGGGGGTGGGTGGAAGAGGCAAAATCATTGGTATGCAGGGAGAAGGTATAGTCATTGATGTTGTTTACTCAAGTCCAACTCTTTCTGACTCCATCTGGGGTTTTCTTGGCAAAGATACTGGAGTGGTTTGCCATTTCTTTCTCCAGCTCATTTTATAGATGAAGAAACTAAGGCAAACAGGAGTAAAGTAACTTGCCCAGGGTCACACAGCTAGTAAGTGCTTGAAGCCGTATTTGAACTCATAAAGATGAGTCTTCCTGGGGCAGCTGGATCACTCAGTGGGTAGAGCACTGGCCCTGAAGTCAGGAGGACCTGGGTTCAAATCTGGCCAAACACTTGATACTTACTAGACTTGATACTTACTAGTCACACTATGTGTGACTCTGGGCAAGGCACTTAACCCCAATTGCCTAAAAAGGGAAAAAAAAAAAGAGATGAGTCTTCCTGACTCCATCCACTGTACCACCTAGCTATGCCACTTGGAAGCTAGGTGGTGCAGTGGATAGAGCAATGAATTTGGAATCAAAATGACTCATCTTCCTGAGTTCAAGTCCAGCCTCAGACACTTACTAGCTTTGTAACCCCGACCAAATCACTTTAAGCCTGTTTGCCTCAGTTTCCTCATCTGTAAAATGAGCTGGAGAGGAAATGGCAAACTACTCCAGTATTTTTGCAAAGAAACACACCCCTCCACAAGGTCTGTGGGCTAGAAGGAAAACCAGCCCCCCACCTCCGCGGCAGACCCTCACCTTATAGCACAAGGTGGCCAGGTTGGATGGTGACTCCTCCCGCACAGCCCTGATCTCCGCTGCTGGAACCAGTGCAAAGACGTCCTGTACTGAGGTGGCTGAGTCTGCCCAGAACTGGTCCCAGAAAGCATCATCAGTGGCCTCCACAGGCTGGAAGAGAGATGGAGCATCCAGAAATGTCATGACAACCACCTGCCTTCCCCCACTCAATCCTGAGGATTATGCAGGGCTCACCCACCTTTGCCCCTTGGCCGAAGGAGATCTCAGAGGATAAACGAAAGGAATGTCAGTGGTTCCCTTAATCATCCCAGATAAACCCCAGGATCAAATGGATCTTGGGGAGAATCCCACCTCTGAGGCCCCTACTGGGAGGCAGTAGAGCCTTCAACAAGGGACCTAGTAACTGTGTAGGCAGTAAACAAAGGAGCCCAATGGGGAATGGAGTCCAGCCAATACAACAGAGCCCATAAAGGAGGAATGGGCACTGTGGTCAGAGGAGAGTCAGAATGATGACATTTTATTCTGAGCTACACCATAGCATAGCAGTGTGACCCTAGACATCTCTTTCTGAGCCTCAGTCAGAGCAAGGTGACTGCCATTAAAGTTCTGGCAGTGTCTGAGATCTCAGGCCACTGCTACTTTCTTCCCTCTATTCACAGAAATAGTATCCCTCCTCACGAAAGGCAGCCCCTTTACCCCCTACTTCTTCCAAGACTTTCCAAATATAAACTTCACTGGTATTTTAAGCCCTTCACAATCTGGCTCCAGCCTCCCTTGCAAAATTCTTAAACATTACTCCCCTTCAAACACTCTATAGTCACAGTGGATAGAGCACCAGCCCTGAAGTCAGCAGGACCTGAGTTCAAATCTGGCCTCAGGCCAAACACTTGACACTTACTAGCTGTGTGACCCTGGGCAAGTCACTTAACCCCAATTGCCTAAATAAATAAATAAATTCTTGTTTCCTTCCTTCTTTCCTTCTTTCCTTCCTTCCTGACTAGAATCTCTATCCCTCAAAGTTTAGCTCAAATAATCATTCCTACATGAGGCCTTTCCTGAACTCCCCCCACCCCTACTCCACCCATACACACACAAAACTGCTAGTAACTCCTCTCCCAAAATGTTGTATCTACTTAGAAGTATACATATTTCTCTCTTTCAGAGTAGGGACCAATTTGTTTCATTGTTTTTTGGATCACCAGTGCTTAGCACTATGCCTGGCACATAGTAAGTGCTTCATAAACAGATATAGATATAAACATAGATAAATAGAATGTAAGCACATTGAAGGCAAAGATTATTTCACTTAAGGTTTTGTATCCCCAGCACCTTGGACAGTGTCTAGCACACAGTAGGTGCTTAATAAAAAAAAACCTATTGATTGACTTATTAACTCTATTAATCATCTCTTCTCCTTCAATTATCTTCTTTTTCCTTTTTCTTTCTTTTGGTAAGGCAATCAGGGTTAAGTGACTTGCCCAGGGTCACATAGCTAATAAGTGTCAAGAGTATGAGGCCAGATTTGAGCTCAGGTCCTCCTGACTCCAGGGCTGGTGAGGGGGAGAAGAGGGTCAAAGATATACCAAGATTATGAACATGGGAGAGTGGAGAGACAGTACAAATATTTAAGGAGAAGCAAGGTTTAGGAGGAAAAATTACAAAGTTTGGCTTTAGACACGTTGAGTTTGATGTTTCAATGGACTATCATTGTAGAGATGTCCTGTAGGCATTTGAATCTGGAACTCAGAAGACAATTATCTTCTTTTTCCTTTTTTTTTAGCTGCCCCTTTCATGTATTTACAATCTTTTCCTCCCTATTGGATCCTTCTTCTCCATCTATGAATAAGTTCAAGTCCCCCCAAAGCTTTAAAAAAAAAAAGTATTTTCTTAATCTTTCTAAGTAGTGCCTTTCACACTTAAAAAATGTTTGCTGAATTGAATTCTACCATGGCTTGTTGTCATCTCATCTCTCTCCTCTCTTTTACTGCTAAACTTACGGGAAAAAAAATCAGTCTTCTCCATGCCACCTCACTACCCTCATTCTCCTCAGCTCTTTGCAGCCAAGCTTCTGCCCCCGTCATTCCACTGAAATTGTTGTCCCAAAGGTCAATAGTGACCTCCTCATTATCAAGTCCAGTAGTCTTCTTTGGGTACCCATACTTCTCCATCACTCTATAGCTTCCTGATACTGCTACAGGGTACCCTCACCATCTTTGCCTTCATAAGCACCACCCTCTTCTGGTTATCTTACTTCTCTCATCACTCCTCTACTTTCTCATCCTCTTTCCCATCCCATTACAAGGGTATTTCTGAAACATTTGTTCTCCTTCACTCATTCATTCCCATAGTTTAAGACAATCTAGCTCATTCATTCCTTCTATCAGATGACTCACAAATCTCTATCTCCAGGGCCTAACTTGTCTTCTGAGTTCCAGATTCAAATGCCTACAGGACATCTCTACAATGACAGTCCATTGAAACATCAAACTCAACGTGTCTAAAGCCAAACTTTGTAATTCCTTGCCTCTCCTTAAATGTTTGTACTGTCTCTCCACTCTCCCATGTTCATACTCTTGGTATATCTTTGACCCTCTTCTTCCCCTCACCAATCATATTCAATCAACAATTAAGTCTTGTTAATTCTTCCTTCATATTTGTTGCAGCCATCCTTTCTTTCCCAGTCCTAGATTGCCATCATCCTAGTCCAGACCCTCATTACTTGCCTACAAGATTACTAAAATGACCACCACCATCATCATAGATAGCATTTATATAGCACTTTAAGATTTGCAAAGTGCTTTATAGATATTAACTCATTTCATCCTCACAACAACTTTGGGAGGTAGGTGCTCTTATCAACATTTGCAGATGAGGAAAATGAGGCAGACTTGCCCCCCAGTTAAGTGACTTGCTCAGTCACACAGCTAGTAAATATCTTCAGCAGGATTTGAACTCAGATCTTCCTAGCACAGTGCCTGGCACATAGTAGTTGCTTAATAAATGTTTGTTTCCTTCCTTCCTTCCAGTCCAGAATTCTATCCATTGCACCAACTAATTGCCTTTTAACAGCTTTTTCAATTTCATTTTCTGCCCCCTCCCCCCAGTCAATAGGGAAGTCCCAGGTAAGAAAACTCCCTCTTCCATGCAGGTCTGTACATTCTCTGCAGTTTATATAAGAGTTGCCTAGAGCAGTGAGAGATTAAGTGACTTGCCCAAAGTCACAATGACAGTATGTGAGCAGGGACTCAGGTTTTACTGTCTTTGAGGTCAGCTCCCTATCTACTATGCAAGGCTACTCTGTAGCTCTTATACTGCTGTTAAAACAATATTTCTTTCTAGCCTACTCAAAAAATCCTCAATGCTTCCCTACTGCTTAATGAATAAAATTCTAACTCCCCGGCCTGACATTTGAAGGACCGGTACAATGTGGCACCACCGTGTCTGACTTTTTCTTATTTTATTCCTTTCCAACAACTCTATGGTATGAACTGGGCAACTCCTTTACCCCTGAACACACCCTGTGCTCTCCCATCTCCATGTTTTTGTTGTTGTTCAGTCATGTCTGATTCTTCAGAAGTCCATTTGGGGTTTTCTTGGTAAAGATACTGGAGTGGTTTGCACTTTGTTTTGTAACTCTCCAATGCACTTATCTTGTGAATGTAATATATTATCTGAACTAGTGTCTTTTCCTCCATTAGACTATAAGTTTCATGATGACATATATCTTGGATAAATGTTTGTTGAATGAATATTTAATGCATTTTTCCCAAGTAGGAGGGAACAAACAACACAGACTCCCCTTCACAGGCCTATCTACCCTCTGGGCTTGGTTTCCACAACTGCCTCTGTCATGAATTCAGAGGTGGGTCAATATCTAAAAAGTCCTGGAAACCCTCATAGCTGGTTTTTATGTTGACTGAAATTGGAGAAAATCACTTCTCTAGGGCTTTGAGGAAACTAAGGCAAATAAAGTTAAGTGACTTGCCCGGGGTCACAAGGCTAGTAAATGTCTGAGGCCAGATTTGTACTCAGGAAAATTAATCTTCTTGACTCCAGGCCCAGCATTCTATCCACTGTGCCACCTAATCCATGCCTTTACTTATGTCTTATGCCTAAAATGGCCTCTCTCCCTCCCCCAACCACTGCTGCTTGAATTCTTAACCCTTCTGTAAAGCCCAACTCAAATGCTGCCTCTTCTAAGAAGTATCACTAATGCCTGCTGTAGGCAGATAATCTCAAATCCCCCGCTGATGCCCCTTGCTCTTCAGATCTCACCAGCAACCCTGGACAAGATGGCATTTCAACTACCCACTGGCTGAAAAGAAGGGGACCATGTGACTGATAGGGATGGTAGTTTCTTTCTGGAGTTGTCCAGTTCAGACCATAGAGTTCATGGTAAGCAATAAAATAAGAAAAAGTCAGATAGGATGATGCTACATTGTACAGATCTTTGAATGTGAGGCAAGGGAGTTAGAATTTTATTCAACTGGGATCCTCAGAACTATTGTAAAACAACCAACACCACCACTCTCTCTCTAACCTTCCCACCAAGACTCCACCCATTTAGGGAAAGGGAAAGGGACAGGAAACAGAAAGCCATTGAGAACTACAAGCTGCTCTGAATCAGGGTCAGATCCTCTACTAGGGGCTGGACTATGAAGCTAGGAAGAAAACAGGATGTACAGCAGGAAAGCCAGAGAGGCGGCTCTAGCCTCAGTCACAGGAAAAGGCAGATGGATTCTTCTCACCTCCTAACCAGAGCCATCCATTCAAATCCTAACACTGTCCCAAAGAGATTGAGGCCTGGAGCTTACTCAAGTAGGTCCCTGTTGCTCCCTTGCTCATCTAGGGAAAAGTTACAGACAGTGCTGGTCTTGGCAGGGAAACCTGGCCTGTTTCCTCATTTTCATAACAAAGGTAACACTTTCATCATCTTCCCTCTAGGCTGGAATTACATTCAGGGATAGTGAGTATGAAGTGGACCTTTGTAGGGAAGAGAACTTGAAAGAAAAACCCTCAGATACCCTTTTTCTAAGGTTGGCTTCCAAACCATACTAGGTCCCTTTGGGGACCAAACACCTATCAGCCTCTTTTAGAGTTCACCAACATCCACAGAGCCAAAAGCCACCTGTTACATTCCTCAGCCAAGGTGTGTCAGCCTCATAGGTAAATAAAGGAGCTTCCCACCTCTCCATATAATACCTCACATGTGGGAGCTTATCTCTCACCCCTCCCTCTGCTCTATACCCAATTTTGGCTCTCCTACCCACGAATCCATGGATTTGGAAACCTATGCCAGCTAGAAATGGAGCCTGAGGCCAATGAAGGTAGCTGGAAACACAGAGGGGCTGAAAGAGTGTATCAGTTGGGAAGGGTGTACTTCAAAGAGGAATTAAGCATTTATCTGGGAGTCTGGGGAAGGCCGTAGCGGGAGAGCAGCAGTGGCCTGCCAGGTTTGGGGGGGGGGGTCAGTGTTCCACCCTGAGCACCATCCCAACAGTGGGGGAAAAATGGAGAGGACCTGGAGGGCTGCAAGGCCAAAAGAGCCAGAATGAGGGAAACCAAAGAGGACGGTCATCTGTAATACCTGTGGCTATATTTAAAGGATCATAGATGTAGAGCTGAAAAGGTGCTTAGAGACCATCCAGCCCAAAACTCTGTTTTACAGAAAAAAAGAACCTGAAGCCCAAAGAGATTAGAGGACCCGACCACCAATAAGTGGCAGGGTCAGGTTTGAAACTCACCTCCTGTGACTCAAGCCTAGGACTGTTCCCTGCCCCATTGAGGATAACATAGGATCAATAGGATTTTAATAAGAACCCCAGAGCATTTCAATTCAGGCATACGTGCCATCTGATTGGAAGAACTCAGGGGATCAGGTCGGGGGCAGGTAAAGGAAGGAAAGAAGGTAAGAAGAACAGAGCTGTATCTGACCATAGGTAAGGGGGAAAGCAGATCTATATGAGGGAAGAGGTGCCAAGAAAGGTTCCCAATGGGAAGGGAGGGAGTGAAAGCAGGTGCCCCCAGGGCCCTTTCCAGATCTCACAGTCTAGGGTTCTATGGTTCCCCGAAGCTGGGATGGAGGCACAGTTTGGGTTCTGTTCAACCCAGGCAGAGGCGCCCAGCATAGCTATCAGTGTTTGGGCTACCCACCTAGTGGTGGGAACACCTGTGCCCCTGTTCTATCAATCAGCCCATATACTCTGTGACTGTGAGAGGTGGCGGCAAGGGGGCACTCCAAACACATTGCCCCCCTCGTCCCGCATACACATACACACATATCAGCTTTGAGTCACAAATCAACTTTGTCGGCTGCTTCTGGTCTGGGTCACAGGCTCCCAACAGTTAGGGCAACGGGCAGGGCACCTGCCAGCACCCCCTCCCCAAGACGGGTTTGCTACAGTAGGCTTAGGGAAGTGTCCGGGCCCTCTCTTGGCCCCGGGGCCATCAGAGCCCAGCCAGGCCCGACCACAGCCAACACACACCAGCTGTTTCCCCCACCAGCCCCGGCTTTGTTTGCACTGAGTCATCGAAGGCTAGGTGTCCGGACCGACTGGCACCCAGGGTGGGTGGGAGCCGGAACCGAAGGAGGGAATAGCTCCTGGGGTGGGGGGCGGGAAGGACACGAAGGGAGGGGGAGGGGAGCGGAATTGCCAGCCGGCTGCTCCCAGGCGTAGGCACACGTCAGCCTAGGGCAACAACCACCCTGGGGGCCGGGGGCCTGGGGACTCCCGGGGGGCTCCTCTGCTCAGCCCCGAGCACTATCCATCACACAGCAGCCTCCCCCAAGGCCAGCCCCCTCCCCACCCCCAGACGGCCGTGGCTGTGGCTATGGCCTTGAACAGAGTCGGCTTCCCCACGCGATGCAGATCAGCTCGGCTCCCCCGAGATGGGGATGGGGATGGGGAGGAGCGGGGAAGGGGACGCCCCGGCTCGGCTCCCTTGGCCCGGCCTGCACCTGAGTCTTGGTGGTAAGCTGGATGACCGCCTTCCGGAAGTTCAGCTTGGAGTCGGCCGTCCCCATCTCTGCTCCCGGAGCCGCCCCGATCTCGGCCCCGCAGCCACGGGGTACTCTCCCGATGGCCGAGAAGAGATCCCCGAGTCCCGTGCGTCCCCGCCTTGCTCCACCTCCTCCTCCAGGCCCGGCCCTCCGCCGGCACCTGCCGCTCCAGCCCTGGCTCCCGGCGGCCCTCCCCATCGCCGCCCCGCCCCCTTCCCCATCACTGGCCAGCTCACTCCTCTGCCGCTCTCTCTTGCTCTCTCCCTCTTTCCCATCCTTGTCTTTGCCTCCCCCACCCCTTCTTTCCTCCGATTCCTGTTTCTCTGCCTTCTCCCACCACCTCCCGTTCACCATCACTGTCTTTGTCTCTCCTTTCCCTCACGTCTATCCCTCCTCATCATCCTCATTTTGGTCCCTCCCAATTCATCTTTTTATTCCTCAATTCATCTCAACAAACATTTGTTAAATACTTATTATGTGAAATTCCATTTCCCCATCCCTGTCCCTAGCTCTACCCTCATCACCATTGCGAACTCTTCTCATTTCCATTTCTTCTCTTCATATCTGGCCCTGTCCTTTTCCTCTCTAGGTTTCCCTCCTTTACTATTACATGCCTGCCTCTAGTTATCCTTTACCTGTCCCATCTCCTACCTCTGTTTCATCTTTACCACTCCTGTCCCCCATTCACTTCCCCACATCCCTGATTCTTTCCTTCTCCTCACCTTCCTTAGCCTTCCCCTAATGAAGTTACCTAATTCTCATTCTCTCTCTCTCTCTCCCCCTCTCTCTCCCTCTCTTTTTCTCTCTCTCTTCCCCTCTCTCCACCCCCCACCTCTCCCCTTCCTCTCCCCTTTCCTCCCTTCCGATTCCCATCTTCCCTTTTCTAAGCTGTTTACAACCACACCTTCTTTCCCATTCCCCCTTTCTTCTCTTCCTTACTCTTTTCCCACCTGTCTCAGGTCCTCCCAGTTATTCCAATGAAGATAATTTATAACTTTTGCATTTCATTTTATAAAAGTTGGTGGTTACGTGATTCTGCTCCTAAATAAACAGACAGCTTCTCAGACAGGCAGTACCAGGGAGGCTAATTTCCTGCCTCTGCCTTCTAACCATGGCCTTTCCCTGGGAATCTTTTCTAAAATATTAAATTGAAATTAGCAAAAAATCAAGTACACAGACAAAAAGTTAAAAGTACCGATAAAAGTGATGAGTGTTTCCTTTATACTTGCTAAAATGCAAGAATGAAATATATCCTGTGTGTCCCATATTCAATTCAATTAAGCAGAATTTAATAAACACCTCTATATGTAAGGCACTGTGCTAGGTCCAGGGATACAGTAACAAAAATGAAATAGTTCCTGCCTTCAGAGCGTTTACATTTTACTGGGGGAAACAACATGTACATATATACATGTAACAATCAGTGGCCCAGGGACAGAGAGGGAGGGGTGGCACACTCTCTCTCACTAAGGGGCTCAAGAGGACTGTATCCAGTCCTAGAACCAGGTTTCTCACTTCCTGACTTCTAAAAAAAGGGAGTCAGGATCTTCTCAAACTCCCTAGCTCATTACACCTCGCCCAAAGCTTGGTTTTGGCTCACATGTAGGACCCCCCCACACACAAAGGAATTAAAAGAATCTCTTCTAGAAAGGTGCTTATTGCAAAAGCAGGTCCTAGGAATTGAGTGGTTATTTATTTCCTGTGCCATAAAAGAAATGCTTAAGTAAGAGAGTGACCCTTTAAGAGAGTGGCATTTCATGTGGATGGGGTATAAGTCTGATTCTGGAAAATCATTTGATAATTTAAGTCTGCCTGAAATTATTTGTCTGAAGTTATAGGTCTGCCCAAGTTCTGGGACAGCAGTTGTTGATTTTTAAATGTAATAAGCTGTAGTATGGGGGGGTGATATGCATACCAGAATTGTTTTATGATTATAGGAGGAATGTCATTTATCTGATTATAGCCAGCTGATGAGGATGTGTTTCCTAACTGTAAGCTAAAGTGGGGTCAGTTATTCACAGAGAGGACTCAGAGTCTGACCACTGAAAGGTAGGGGAGAGGAGAGGGAGAAAGGGAAAGAAAGAGAGAGGGGGAGAGGTAAAAAAAAAGTGAAAGGATAGATTTCAGAACTGCATCATCTAAGACTGAAGCTGGAAGAGATAGATACCACAGTTGCAGTTGAGCAAAGAAATAGTTTTGGAAGCAGAAAATATTATAAACAATTCTATTGTTGTAATGAGATCTATGGTTTTCATATTAATCAGTATAGTATGTATGATGATTATATTAACTATTTAGATTTGTTGGAGCTTCCCTACTTTCCAGGGGACCCTGACTTGAAAGCTGAGATTGCAGCTGATATGCTGCAGCCAAAGTGATCAATCAGATCCCCTGACATGCTAACAATCCCCACACTTGCAACCACCAAGTGAACTGAACCAGGTGCCTCAATTCTTCTCCTGGACATGCTAACCCTGGTTCTGTGCCCCACTGAACAATCACAAGGCTTAGCAACCCTAATGGCTTGGAGACTGTTCACACAAAACCCAAGAATGCCTGTGTTGTGGTCCAACCATTTGTGGACTTGGAAATTGTTTACTCTAAAGCAGGGGTGGAACATTGTTCTGCAAAGTTTGGATTCAGTCAAGGGGTCCAACTTGAGGACCTAGAGGCCACATGTGGCCTCGAGGCAGCAGGTTCCCTACCCCCGCTCTAGACTCAAGAATTCCTGTGTTGTGATCCAGCTATTTGTGGTTTTCACACTTAAAAACTCTACCCCTGCCCTAAGCAGGTGAGCCCCCCACAACCACCACCTTAGAAAGGTGGACTTTTGTTTGATTCCTGACTCTCCTGTGTCTGGCTTGCTCTGTCTGGCTCCTGCCATCCACAAGTTAGAGGCCAATTCAGTCCAGATGACTCTATAAATAAACTGATTTACCTGAAATTTTGTGCCCAGTGAGATGTTAGTCAAGTACAGCCGAGAAGAGGAAGCATCTGTTCAATACAAAAGCTCCATTCATCAAAGAACTTTAATGGACAGTTGCTGAGACAGAAAGAGGACCTTGAAGTTTAGAATGCCAGAGTTGTGAGTTACGAAGAGCACATTGATTTTCCTCATTCATGTGCCTTCTTGGCAGGTTGATGTATGTGTGTGCTCACTCTCCTCCGCACATACTGAATTCCTTAGCAGGAGAGTGTGACCCAGGTTTTATGTGTGGATTGTGTTATATTTATTATTCTTGAATTTACTTTAATATATGAGTATCTGTGATATTATTCCTTTTGCCTTATTAAGTACATAGTTATGTTTAAGAGCAAAAAGCGTCATTACTACAAATGGCTGGTTTTGTATAAATGGAAGCTATATTCATCAAGCTACATTGTCAAATATTCAAAGCATGCTACAATAATCTATCCCGTCACATTTTTTCTGGGACCTTAAAAAGGCATTTCACCTTTATTTGGACTCTGCATTATCTGAGTAATTCACTCAAGGTTCATATGTTTTGACAAACCAGGCGTTTGTGGCTCATTCTCATCTACGGTCATCTTATCCTTCAGGAAGCATTATAATAGCTGCAGAAAGCACCTCCCACAGTGCCACTGGAGTCAAATGAGGAAGCCAGGAACCCCCAGACTCCACAGGTAACCGCTAGGCTCAGGAACAATGTTCAATGGTCACCTCTGATCTGGGAAAGAAACACAAAACCAAAGAATCAGCCAGAGCTTTAACATGTAGTCTCAGGTTTACCTAGATAAGCACATATTCTTGCTGCTATTTATAAGCAGCCTCCATGACTACGAGGTGGAAGAAATCTCCCCCCCCCCAACTCCTCCTGAAAAGCCCAAGGCATAGAGGCTTAACACACTAGGCACTTGGGAAGAAAGAGTGAGAGTGATTCACAATGATCATTTGTCTTTGACAAAACCCCTCATCACAGGGTTAAAGGGTGTTTTACATGGAGACCAACTAGAAGCTTCTGTGTATGTCCTTTATAACTGAAAACAAATGCCCAAGCCTAAATTCAACGTTCTGTGGGCAGCGTCCCAACCGGAGCACGCGTGTAACTAGAAGTGGCCAGGGCAGAGGCCGATCCCCACTCAGATTCCATGGGACAGCCACTGTTGTCCAAAGTACTGTATGCAAAATAAATACAAGGTAATTTGAGGAGAAAGGACAGCGCTAACAACTAGTGGAATCAGGATAGACCTTGTATAGGAAATGGCTCTTCAGGAGAACCTTGAAAAAAGTTAATAGCGAGGGGCAGCTAGGTGGTGCAGTGGATACAGCACTGGCCCTGAAGTCAGGAGAACCTGAGCTCAAATCCAGCCTCAGACACTTGACACTTACTAGCTGTGTCTGACCCTGGGTAAGTCATTTAACTCTGATTGCCTCACCAAAGAAAAGAAAAGAAAAAAGCTAATCTGAGAGGCAGTTGAGAAGTGAGAGCATGGGACACTGCCTGTGCACAATTATGGAGGTGGAGATGGAATGTTGTGTAATTGGAACAGCAAGTAGTTTTGTTTAATTGGAACATGGAAGTATGTGACCTCCCTGCATGCCTCACATTGCCTTAGAGTGGCAGGAAATGGGTTTCCAAGATGGTCTATATTACACTCAAGTGCATGGTGAGCACTTTCAGCCACATCCAACTATAGTGGCAACCTTTAGGGTCCAAAATAGGCTATTAAAATCTTTATTGATAAGTGTCTCCCAATGCCTGTGTCAAAAATTTTCTAAATTCTTTGAAAGTTATAACAACAGAGATTTTTGTCATTGTTTAGTTGTTTTCAGCTACGTCGGACTCTTTTGTGACTTCTTGGCAAAGTTACTACAGTGATTTGCCATTTTCTTCTCCAGCTCATTTTACAGATGAGGAAACTGAGGCAAATAGGGTTAAATGACTTGCCCAGGATCACATAGCTACTAAGTGTCTGAGGCTGGATTTGAAGGCAGGTCTTCAGGATTTGAATTCCAGGCCTGGCACTCCATTCACTGTGCCACCTAGCTACCAATAACAACAGAGATATCCTTGTTCAATGACCATCTGATCACACAGGGAAGTTGTGATAGTCAAAGGCTCAGTTTCTCTCTGCAGCTCATTACTCCTACCTGAAGTTGCTTTAGGACAATC